AAAAAAAAAAAAAAAAAAAAAAAACTGAAAAAAATCGTTTTTTTTTTTCAGCCCCAAAATTATCCGCTCCCCCTCAAAAAATCCCCATATTCCGCCCCCCCGTTTTTGAAGTTTTTATGTTTTTTTTTTTGCGAGGGGGTAGGGGAGCCCCCCCCGACTCGAAACCCGCTCCCCGCTCCTAAACCCCCCTCCCCGATCGGCCACGGCCGCGGCCAAAAGTTCTCGGCCGGAGCGGCCACGACCGGGGGGATCCCGGCCAGGGGGGAACATAGGCGAGAGCAAGCTCTCATTGGCATTGGTTTTCAGTGTTACGTCATTGGTGTTATATTGGTGCATTTCTGGTTTCCGGACACTGTGATACTATCTGCCCTTCAATGTGATTGTGCAATTTGCTTATTGTCATCTCGCTATTGCTCATTTTCCTTGCAACTAGTACCTCTGCCAGTTGGGAAAATAGGGAGGCCTCAGGTGGGCCTCCGATATTTTAGGAGGCCAAAAAATGAAACGACGGCCGCTGATGAGATTTATCAATGGCAGCCGTCATCGGGCCTTGCTCCTTATCTTTTAGAAGTATGGGAAAACTGCCAGTTTTCCCTATTTCCCCAGCACTGGCAGAGGTACAAGTGCTTTAAGAGAAAAATCTTGCATCAGAAGCTTTTGAAACCTGGCTATATCAAGGGGATATAGCGGAGATGAAGGGGAAAACCATTTGTCTTCAGTAGTTGTAGTGGAATGGTACCGGGAGGAAAAATAAGGAAAAGCGGTGGAACATCGGACAGTTTCGCAGGCTGAGGTACGGGTTGGGGGATGTCCTCGCAGTCACAGAAAGATCAGACAGTTCACGACAGTGGACTGGTAGAGATATATCATACATCACAGACTGTTCTGCGTATTGTTTTTTTTTTAGGCGATTATAGTTCATTACACTGATTAAGGGGACAGTTTTGTCAAAGGTGGGGGCACACATCGCAGTCAATCCTTCCCATGAAAGTCATTAATCCTGTCACGTTTCCCTGGGCTGTAATGTGGGGAAGCATTCCAAGTGGGTAGTTTTCATGCAATGTTCTGAGTCTTCTGACATGCCTGTGGAGTAGCAACCGGACTGATGCTCCCCCCAAATGGACAGGGAGCTGGGTCGATAAGTACCTGCTTTTTCTTTTTGTTAATTAAAAAAAAAACAAGTGGACCCGCCGCAGCGACGCTGCGGTACAGGAGCAGGGAGGAGGGGAACAGGGCGAGAGGGAGTGATCTTCTGTTTGCTGTTCCAGAACATGCAAGCATATACAAAGCAGGAGAGTCACTTGTGTGAGATGAGGCCATACACAGAAATTGGCCAGGAACAAACCGGGAGCAAGCATGCACAAAAGAGGAGAGAGACTGGGGGAAGGAAAGACAGGGAAGAAACGCACACAGAGTCTGAAGTCCTGTATGCCAACGGGCAGAGCAGTTAGAAGATGAACGGATGAAATTAAATGGCTAAATATCAAATGAACTATGAACATAAAAGTTGTCTCCAGAGAGAGAGAGAGAGAGAGAGAGAGAGAGGACAAAGCGGAGGAAGAGCAGGGACAGTGGCTGTTTTCTTTCGGGAAGTCGTTTGGCCCCCAACCCCCCCCAATACATTGACTATGTTCACCCGTTTGCATCTGCCACGTGGCACATTTGCTTTTTCTACTTTCTATAGCAAGTTACATTGTGAGCTGAGTGTGTTACTTTCTCAGCTGTTTGTTTTCAACTTTTTCTTACAAACTCAATTGCCATTGTTGAGATTCTTTAGACTTTTTTCGTTTTTTTTTTTTTTTTTTTTTTTTTTTTTTTTTATGTTAAGTTATTAATTGTTGGGAGAGTCCCAATGGTTTTGATTTTCACTGGAGCATTTGCGCGTGTGTGTATTTATTTTTATATTTTCAATCAAGGTAATGGAGGCCGACATACTGCATGCTCCCTTTGTTATGGCCATGGGACCCCACGACAGTGGCACTGTCATTCAGAAGATTATCCGATCCTCCTTATGCCCCCCAGCCACTCTCGTCCTCGGCAGATTGTATCTTCCACCTGTCCCGTCTCCATGATCTCCCTCCCAGACGAACGGAATCCATCCCACCCTCTGCGGTTTATCATTTTGACAACGTTGATGATGATTTGACGACCATGATGATGACGACGACGATGATAATGATTACGACAGCCGAGTTTTTCATGACTTCTCCTTGGCCGCTGTCTCTTATACACATCTAGATGTGTATAAGAGACAGCTCTCTCTCTCTCTCTCTCTGTCCACCCATACTGCAGCACGGGAAAGCGGGGAAGAGAAAGCAGTGGCCATGCCGAATGCGGCATTGAGGACCTGCCTGCTCTTCAACTCTACCTCCTCGTCACCTTCACCCAGTCTGGTGCATGCAATCACGAGCTCTGTCGCCTGAAAGCCATGTTTGGTAGATGCCTCCTAACATGGTGTTTCCCTAGGACCCTAGATTGAAGTTCTCCTTTGATTTGTCGGGTGTTTTTCTGTGTTCATTGCTTTGCCTGAACTCTTTAGAGCCAGTTCCTTCTCGTCATTGACTTATCTGTTGATTCCATAGGTGACGATTCTCCTTCAGGCCAGATTCTGGCGTAGGAGCAAACTCCATAGGCTCTGTGTATGCCCTTCACTGCAGCATCCTCTTGCTGACAAGAAAATAGTCCCTGGGAATTGGCGATCTAGTTGAGAGAGACAGTGATCTGCCTCCTTTGCGGAGCTGATAGCAGAAAAGGCTGAGAACCCACTCCCTGTTTCATTTAGGATTTCCATGGGAGTGTGCCTCATCCGCGCCAGTGTCGTCGGGAGTTCTCCGAGGGTGCATCATTATCCTGTCCTGAGTCACTTGTCCTTCTCCTTTTTGCAGAGCCGGCAGCAAAAGGGTGAGAAAATTTTCGCTCATCTATCTCCTGCCTTTCCTGCCTCCTCCTCTTCCACTGAGATCTTTCCTTTCCCGGTTCCCTCCATCCTGCTCTGCTTCAATCGAGGAGGTGATCCGTAGCTGAGCCTCTCAGACGAGACCTCTCTTGGAAGTTGGAACACAATCTCCTTCTCTAATCGAACCATTCCTCCCTCGTGATTGGCGTTCAGGAGGTTCAAAAAACTTGAGATATGTATCTTTTTCACACCCACAGATGTTTTGCACACACTTTTTTCCTTGTCTTGCTTCCACTGTACACTCCGGTCTTTTCACAGCGAGTCCATTATTCTCTGTCATTGCTCTCGTGTAGGCACTGGACTGTTATTGAATCTCCCTGTGTGCGTGTGCTTTTCTTTTGTGCTTCTTTCTCGTTCGTTGGTCTTGTTGGATTGTTTTGAGTTATTGTAGCAACGTGCATCTTGTATCCACTTTTCAGTTTCTGATGTTTTGCAGCAAGTGTCTTTTTTTTGTTCCCCTCTTGCAAGGGAGGACGCGGCGCAAGGGTGGGATGGAAGAGCCTTACAGAGGAAGGGAAAGATTCCGAAAGAGAAAAAGAAGCATTTAGTAACCTATCCAAGTTGGTGATGTTTGTCTGCAGATGCAAACCTCTGCCAACCATGTGGTCCAGGAAATATGAACATGGAGTCCACTCCGATGAAGAAAAAGGGTATGGCAGCAGCTCGCCGAAACACAGCCGCTGTCTCTGCAAGGAAACGCCCAGCGGGTAAACAACAGAAGTCTGCGCAACAAAAGAGACCATGGTCGGAGTCTTCTTCTTCTTCTTCTTCTTCTTCTTCAGAGTTTTCATTCTCTAATGACGAGGATCCTTCAGATGATCCAGAAGGAGAGAGCGACACCGGGAGTGAAGAAGGGTGTTCAGCATCACCCAGCAGTGTTCAGGGAAGTTTCAAATCACGTTCTCAGACAGGAAGTTTGAAGACACCTTCGGCAAGAAATGTGCGGGCTGCAAGTACCAGGAAAGCCCAGACAGCACAGGCGTCCACTCCTCGTGCGCAAGCCAATCGAAGGGGACATCGGGATAATGATGGAGACACCCAAACTACCGCGAGCGACTCCGCTGGCAAGACGTGTCACAAAAAACAAGGAACGAAAAATAGAGGGAGGAGCCGATTATGCACGCCAAGTGGAACGGTTAGAACTGAGCAAGATCAGGATGAAAATGCGGATTCCCTTAGTTCCGCGCTTGAATGCGAAAGAGCAAAGACTAACGACGAAAGGTTGTCGGCAGCAATCAGGAGGTTGGACACTGCACAGAAACGGCTCTACACACCCGTAAGGTTAACCAGAATCAGTGACGAAGATGATAGTGGTTCGGAAAGCGTGATCGTAAATGGTGAAAAGCAGCCGCCATTGACAAAGAGTAAAAGGCGTCAGACTGGCAGCGTGCAGTTGCCCACACCTATTCGACATATAAGGACCGACAGTAGCCATCTGGTCGGAGACTGCTTTCAAGCGAATCTTCCTCAATCTGGAGCAGGTAGAACGTCGACAGTGAACCGAAGACCACAACCTGTACAACGATCACTGCAGCTTGAATCGGTGAGCATGCCACGTGAAAATGTGAACATCCTGGAGAAGGATGCTGACGCAGGCTACCAACATCACATTCCTCGAGGTAGCGCGAAAACAGGTGGGTGTCAATCACCGCAGGACAAGAACGGCAGCTGCCAGGCGAAACACGGAGTGGGCCCCCAAGAGGACCCAAGGGATGCTTCTGAAGGCGCGGGAAAAAATGTTGCCATGGGCGGGACCAGTAGCTTGCCAGCAAGTGCTGAAAGGGCTGAGCCCTTTCAATCAGTCTGTGAGGAAGGGAACAGTGAAGGACCTCTAAGTGAAAGGCATGCTCCGCACACTGAAGAGGATGTGGCTTCCAAAATCCTATCAAATGTGGAGCTGGAAGGTGGAGGAGGGGTCGAAGATGATGCACAAAGTTTTTCCCAACACCGGAGGAAGAAAACGAGTCCTCAAAAGAGTGTGTCACGTGATGTTGAGACCAGCAATTCCTCTCCAGCTCTGCAGAAGGAAGGGGAAGACGCACTGCAGGAAACAAGTGGGACATCTATGACTTTTCAGGCGGCAAAACAGAGCGCGGATAAGGATCCCGCAGCAATGAACACGGTTCAGCGGGATAATCCGCTAAACGAAGGAAAGAGTGATGGGTGCAATCAGCGGAAGAGGAGGGCATCCATGGCACCGAAGAAGGCTTGCGTTGAACCCACAGACAGAAGGGCCTCCCTCGCGCCTAAGGGCGGAAAGGCCTCCATAGCACCTAAGGAGAGGGGGAGCTCCATAGAGCCTTCGGATGCGAGAGAGTTGCCGAGTAGGACTATGCGGACTAGGAGCAGGCAGGCAGAAGGAGAGTCAATCCCAGCATCGGCGACCAAGGTTCAGCGGAACAGGAGCAGGCGGATGGAGAGAGCGGCAGAGTGCGAGTGAGGGTCATCAATCAACAACACTCAGATGCGAGAGAGAGAGAGACAGGCTTATTACTACCAGTCAGGTAGGCGATTTCCTCACAAAGAACTTGTAAGAAATGAATTCAGGTTCCTCCCATGTTGTTACAGCAAACACACACAGGCAGAACATGTTTATTTCGCTCCCGAAGGCACCAAAAGGAGAAAAGACTCGAAAAGAGGGAAACATTGTCAGTTTCTTAGTTGCCTGTTTACAGTGTTTAGCACTTTGGGCAGTATCAGTGTAGGTGAAAATGTACCTTTCATTCTTGTTGGTATTCAAATTGACAGCCGGTAAGCGCATATGGGAGAAAGCGAGGAATGGACTCTGCAAGACGCTGTGGGACCAAAGGATTGCTGTTGCCATTGCCTTCTCCTTCGTGCACGTTAAACGTTGAAAGAAAGGGGGCTAGTCTGGCTTATCAGGGTCTTCTAGAATTGTGCCACTGAGGTTGTAGGCTCTCTTGGCCCATGTACCAGGAGGCTGGTATAGACGATAAACCTGGCTGCAGACGGGTCCCAAGTCCTCCAGAGATGGAGCCTCTGGACAAACACTCGGTCATTGGAACTTTTTTGAAAAGGTTCCGTATGTTTATTACATACGCCAATCGCTTTTGACTCTTCAAATGGTACACAACCATCGATAAGTCAGTACTTCGGAGTTTTTCAGACTCTGTTAGAAATTGCAATACAGGCTATTACAGCAACAATGGCAACATAGGTCCCCTTGATAATCCGGAGGATTAAAATGGAGAATCTCCATCCCCCTGCATCATCGATTTTTTTTAAAAGAGAAGAAAGGAAAAAAGAGAGAATCTGCATCCCCAAGATACGCAGTATTAAGATGCTTGTGTATCCTGATTTTTTTTTTGGGAAATAGTTTGAAGAGAAACTAATAACTAATGAATTTTTATAACTTTTTATTATTTTAACCTTCCATTGAGGAAGGTCCTTTGGCAAATGTATTGTAAGTGTGTAACTTTTGAACAACCAGTACATCCGAGCCTCTTTTTCCCTAGCCGCCGCAATTTCCCCTGCATGCCAAGCTTTGCCAAAACGCCAGTGCGACGTTTTTTCTATTCTTTTGGCTTGCGGCGCCAGCCATTTTGGTTTAGGCAGCTCTGAGGAAGACACACTGCATTTTCGGAACGACTCTTTTTGAGTCTCAAGTTTCCCTGCGTGATATACTGGCAGTCTAAGAATTGAAAGGATACACGCTGCAGACACCCCAGTCCCGGTCCCAGAGTTCCAAAGTGTCCCAGTTCCGGGCTGTCCCAGTAGGGGAGGCCATAGGGTCCAGAGGCCAAAACATCGTAGGTCGTTAGGTGTCGGTGCCGAAAGGTCATAGATCGGTAGGAGTCCGTCCGGTACCTGACAAGAAAAGTCCAGTCCAGTCCAACAGTCCCAAGCCCAGGTGGAAAGTCTGGAAGCAACCGGACCGACAAAATGTTTGCAGCAGACAGGCTGCGGCCGACCTGTACTGGTCTGAAGCAGGCCAAGCCAAGTCAAGTCTTATATTTAGCTGCTACAGTGCAGCGGCTCATCACTTGTTCAATTGCGGAGATGCGGAAGCACTGCTGCTGCTTGTGCGTTGGGCACTTCACGCCTGAAGAAGGAGAGGGTGCTTGCTAGTTACTCCATAGCCAGGTTAGAAATAGCACGCAAGTAGGGCGGCCATAGCCGCCAAGGTTGAAGCTTACCTGAGTGGGTGTATCCAGGGTAATGATCTAGAGAGAGAAAGAGAGTGAGGCAGAGCGAGCCAAGTCAGAGAGAGAAGCAAGACTAGGAGAGAGAGAGAGAGAGAGAGAGAGAGAGAGAGAGAGAGAGAGAGAGAGAGAGAGAGAGAGAGAGAGAGAGGCTAGTGCACTGCAAGAAATATCACCTTCGGTACCTTCTGAAAAAAGTGGTTATGGCTTTCGGTACCTTCTGAAAAAAGTGGTTAGAGAAGCCATAGCCGCCATCTGGTTGAGATCCCTTGTGTGTGTTTGTGCGGCAGAGCCACTGGAGACTAAACATTTCTTGTATATTGATATCTCTCGACTCTGTGGGAGGAGTTATGTGCTATGCTTGATTTCCGAATCTTTGGCCTTGGATGCTCTCACTCGTAACTCATGGGCTTTAGGTGGCTCTACATCACTAGGCCACAATCTCAGGAAGTATCAAGACGTGGTTTAAAGCACCAGTACATGGCCCCAGCCAAGTTGAGAGTCCCATTGAGCCTCTCCTAAAATTTAGGAGGCTCGCGCACCGTCGATGAAATAAATCGATGGCAGGCAGCCTCCAAAAGGGGCCTGCGGCCGATGCCTGGCATGTACTGGTGGTTTAAGGCGTTCGAGACGTACAGGCAAAAGAGAGGGATGAGTGAGTGCTGGCCATGGCTTTTCATCTCTATTTCCTTAGATTATTGGGGGTTCTCACCTTTCCTCATTCACCTTGTCTCTGCTTTGAGTAAGTCAGTCTTAACTTTGTCTTCCTTGGTATTGTTTGATGATATGCTCTCTGCATAATTGCATTTGTTTTTCCGAATCATAATCAAAGATTCCTAAGACCCTGGACCGACGTAGACCATGTAATTGAAGGGTGTCGCTCGAAGCCGGACACACACAATAGGAAGGGATTCGCATTAGTTAATTATTAATTTATTGCAAAAAATATTAAAAATCCTGCGTGACAGCCTGTTGTCTTCTTGGTCGCCGGAAGTGACCGGACTGAGAAAAAGTGCGACAGCGTCTAAGTTACTTCCCTGCATAACAAACAACCAGTTTCCCTCTCGTCGCTCCATGGTCCCACCGGATATGGATGGAGGTTACGACGTGGACAAAATAGTTGCTGAGGATGTTTTCCAGACAGGTCGACGAGGGAGGCCACAGAGGCAATGTAAGGTTAGATTTGCCTATCAAGAACCCGGCGAAGATCGTTGGTTCCCCAGGGAGGAACTCGTACAAACAGCCCCTCACATTGTTTCCTTTTATGGGATGTCTCGATGGGGAATGAACGTGTATGATCGATAAAGATGGGATTTTTATCGGAGGACCTCGAAATTAGGCCGGCAGGAGTGAAAGGATTCAAGCTGCAGACACCCCAGTCCCGGTCCCAGGGTTCTGAAGTGTCCCGGGCCCAGGCTGTCCCAGTAGGGTAGGTTGTAGGGTCCAGAGGCTGAAACATCGTAGGTCGTTAGGTGTCCGTAGCCGGTAGGAGTCCGTCCGGAACCCGACAAGGAAAGTCCAGTCCAGTCCAAGGGTCCCAAGCCCAGAAATTTGCAGCATGTCCTAGGAAAGTCCGGAAGCAACCGGACCGACAAAATGTTTGCAGCAGACAGGCCACAGCCGACCAGTACCGGTCTGCAGCAGGCCAAGCCAAGTCAAGTCTTATATTTAGCCGCCACAGTGCAGCGGCTCATCACTTGTTCAATTGCAAGATGCTGAAGCACTGCTGCTGCTTGTGCGTTAAGGCAACTTGGGCACTTCACACCTGAAGAAGAAGAGGGCGCTCGCGAGTTGCTCCATAGCTAGGTTAGAGGTAGCACAGGAGTAGGGCGGCTATAGCCGCCAAGGTTGAAGCTTACCTGAGTGGGTG